CACAAGATTGTTTGATGAAAAATCAAAGAGCTTCTACAGAGGTTTTATCAACTGAAAAATGAAATGTATTCTTTTACTCAGAAGTTATGAACCCAGGAATTATATTTATTAAGTGCTTTTTTTTTTTGTGGGGGAAGGGGGTGGCACTGGAGTTTTAACTCAGGGCCTCACACTTGGTAGGCAGGTGCTTTTTACTGCTTAAGCCACTCTGCCAGCCCTTTTTTTGTGATGAGATAGAGTCTTATGAACTATTTGCCCATGGGTGCAACCCATGGGCAAACCTCGATCCTCCTGATCTCTGCCTCCTGAGTAGCTAGGATTACAGGTGTAAGCCATTGGCGCCCAGAGTATTAAGTGCTCTTTGTAAGTAGTGCCCAGTAATAACTGATTAGGTAGGTAGTGGGGCAGTGACCAAACAGCAGCTCCCTCCTTTTTTTGTTCGTGATGGTACTCAGGGCTTCATGGTAGGCAGGTGCTCTACCACTTGAGCCATTTTGCCAGTCCCAATGAGCAGTCTTTTTGACCTGGTTGCAGATCCCTACGCTCTGGGTAGTATGTGACATTAGTATCTAATACTGTAATGGCAGATAAGATAGCAAACACTAGGGAGGCAGTGAGAACAGGGGCAAATGAATGACTGGGTGAATGAACACATTAACATCTATTGAGCACTTACTACGTGTCAGGTACTATGTAACTGTTTCCATAAATCCAGTCATCTGATTATTATAGCCACTCTAATAACAGCACTATTGCCCCTTTACAGTTGACTAAGATAAAGCTCAAGAGCAATGCTTTAGGTGAGGAGCTGTGACTGGAAACCAGGTCCTATCACTTCTGGCAGCCCGGTTTGCTCCTCTAGATCAGCACAAGGTGCCCCCATGTCACCATATCTAGGGTGATTGTAATGATATATACATATTTTTTCTTCTTCCATGATTCCTGGATTATAACTCCCTTCCCAAAGCAGATCATAGAAACTCTAATCTTCCCCTACTTTTGCTGGCCATAAAGAAATTCTTGACCTATCTCTTTCTAGAGGAGTCCTGCCTCATGTCCTGACGTGAGGAAGGCTGCACAGAGGGGTCAAAGGGAACCTGAGTGGATGGGCCTTGCTGGGTCTCCCCACCAGCCCATCAGCAATCACGCTGGGCAACGAAGCTTCTGTAGAAACCAAAAGATCAAGGTTCAGAGAATTTCCAGGCGGTTCCTGGAGGGTGGGGCACCTGGAGAAGACTGGAAGCTCTGCACCCTTCTCCCATCCCTCACCCTGTGTGTCACTTCATTTGTATCCTTTGTAATGTTCTGTATAATAAACCAACAAATGTAAGTTTTTCCCTGCGTTCTGTGAGACACTCAAGCAAATTAATCAAAGCCAAGCAGGGAATTGTATCTGGTCAGTCAGAAGCGCAGATAAACAACCTAGGGCTTGTGACTGGCATCTAAAGCATGTGTGTCGGGGAGAGGGGGTTTTGGGAGACTGATGCTCACCCTGTGGGAACTGACAGGAGAGAGTCAGAACCCATCGCAATTATAGCACATCCAGCTGGTGTCAGCTGCTGCAAGATTGACTGCTGGATTGCTGGTGGGGAGAAACCCTACACTTTTGCAGGTCACAGGTGCCATCTGTGTTACTGCATACCACAGAGCAGAGTGAAACAGGTATGTTTTTGCATTACACACAGATAAAACTGAGCCGTGACACCCTGGCATCCTTCACAGAGCCTTTCAGGACCTTTCTTGTGCTTGTCCTACTTGTACATCTGACTCAGGCTTGCAGTCCTGTCACCTCCTTCTTCCCTGTTCAGAAACATTGGGTGACTGTACCTCTAAAAACCTGTATAACTTTTTGATTCAGCTGCAACCCTCTGTTGACTTCTGAGCTTGTAATTTGGGGTAAACCTGAAATGTTGATATTTTCAGTGTTTTGTTTGTTGGGTGAGGTAGAAGAATATTTTGTGCAATCTGACAATTCTTTCCTGGGGGGTTACCAATTCTAGCTGCACTTCGGTGTTGAGACAACAGCTAGCAAGATGGTAGGCAAGTCACACGTGGTCTCTCCACTTTTGTTTTCTCATCTGCAAAATGGAGCAACCAGTCTTTGCCTCATTATTGGACAGTTGTTTTATTATTAATGACACTGATCCCAGAAGATTTCAGGAAGATGTCATGAGAAAACTGCAGGACAAGGTGACAAATACTGGCAGGCTCATTAGTCAGCAGACACTTGGTTTGAGCTGACCTTAGACTTATGCACAAAGGATGGGGAGCTACAGGCAAGCTCAGGGCCACTTGAGCATTGACAAGTAGACAGTAGTGAGATAAGGCACTTTATCTCTGGATTCACTATGCTCATAAACTCTACCTTCAAATAGCTGAGGCAAGTGCTAAAATTCTCTCCCACAAATTTCATTCCCCTCAAAGGATGGATACAGCAAACTGACAGTTGCCACTGGGTGCACCATATTCTCAAAAACTCAAAGTACAACTGTGGGTGCTATCCATGCAGAGCTTCTCTAAGGACTTCCATTTGCTCATTCTATTCAGTTTTAGCCTGTGTGTTCTCAAAATGCCTCTGATCCCTCTGCCAGAACACTCAGTAAACATTTCTGCAATTGTTTTACTTATATTTTCTTCAATGTGACCTCCTTGCACATCTTTTTCCTTACATAATCCTAAACTGAAGCACATAGAAGGTACTGACTCTTCTGAATGAATACCTATATCATAAGGCTGGTTCTCTGGACATATGCCTCCATGGAAGGCCCAGATTTTTGAAAATAAATTGAGATAAAAGTGAAGACTTGTTTGTCTTCCATTGTCTCCAGTGAGCTCTGGTGATGTTTAACAAGAATGACTCTAAACCCTGTACCTGCTCAGGCATGCTGTTCTGGATAACAGAGCCTAGTGTGTCAGAGCCTGAGTCCAGAAGCTTGCATAGACATGGACACAGCCTCCTTAGGGGCTGATGCACAAACTCATGAAGACTGATTAATGGGTCATTCACCACAACTAAGTTAGAGAGGAAGATTCCAGGTACAAGCCAAGCTGAGGAAGGGAAGTCTAGGGAAGCCAGGTGGCATAGAAGTAGTAAGCAAACTGTTAGTTCCTTTAGGCTGGGCCTAAAGGAACTAGAATACCTTAAGCTGGGGCTTCAGCTTCAAGCTTTCACGTGGTAGGCTCCCTAAATCCTTCAATCCAGTGCTGGCTGTAGATGCACTAACTAAACCTTCTCTTATGTGCTATTGGGTATTAGGTGCTCTATGCACACTCTCAGTTGGATTGGCACAAGCAGCCCTGTCATGAAGATGGACCCTATCTAATACAGGACTAGAGCCACTAAGCAGCAGCCTTACAGATAAGCCTAACCACTGAAGTACTTGTTGAGGCCCTATCTCTCAAGATACCCCAGCTGTGCTCCAAGGTTGATCTCAGTATCTTTAGCATTTCTAAGACTAAGGAAAAAGTCAGATATTTACATTGATGTAGATTACAGCTGCAGCAGGCTTGTGCCCACTTCGGTCCACCATGCCCAGCTAGTTCTTGATCTAACAACTCATCCTTGACCCTTAAGGCCCATTTAGTTTTGACATTTACATATGGCTGTTTTTGACCTTGGGAACCCCTCAAAGTTTTTGGTGTAGTCCCTGTCCCTTTCCTCAGTTTCCCAGTCTTGAGTCATCTGAAGTTCTGTGCTTGTTCTGGTCTGGATCCCAGCTCTAGGCCCCAACAGTGATGTGGGCTGGAACACTGTAGCATTAGAAGCCTTCAAGGACAATCTGCTCTCCACTGTTTCCTATGGAGCACTGGGAAAATGTTTTGCTTTGAAGTCACCCAATGCCTTGATCTGTGATTTTTTTTTCCCTTTTCACTTCAGCCCATTGTAGTTAAATATTTATAGCATATAAGTTTTTAGGTATAAAATAAAGTCCTCTATTGTGGTGAAATGTATGTATGTAGCATAAAATTTACCATCTTAACTATCTATCTGTGTATAGTTCAGTGACATTAATACATTTATATTGTTGTGCAACCATCACCACCATTCATAACCAGAACATTTTCATCTTCTCAAACTGAACCTGAGAACTCACTAAACAATAATTACTCATTACTATGGCAATTCTTTCTATCTTTATGAATCTGACTAAATCAAATACTGAATATCTTATACAAATGTAATCATAAAATATTTGTACTTGTTTTGTTGGTGGTAGTTTTTTATTTTTGTTTTGGTGTTGGGAATTGAACCCAGGGCAAGTCACATGCTAAGTGCACTCTATAATTGAGCTATATACCCAGCCCAATATTTGTCCTTTGTGTCTGGCTTATGTCACTTTGCATAATGTCTAAAGGTTCATCCACATTACAGCATGAGTGGGGAGAAATGAAAAAAAAGAGAGAAGCATTTCCTGCCCCTCCCCCCAATACAGGATGCACGAAATGAAAGCAGAGACTCCAATTTTCAACAATTTTATTTCTCCATTCTAACTGGTGATGAACATTTGTTTTTTTCTAGACTGGATTTTCTTAAAAAAAATAAACACTAGTGATATGTACATATTTTTGAAGTGGAACTGTCAGATCACAGGTTCTGCCTGTGTTTGGCGTTAGTATTGCCAAATATTCTCTAAAGTTGTTTCACCAATTTATACTTCCAAGATCACTGTGTGAAAGCTGTGTTTCTCTATGTGCTAGGTAGGCCCTTGAAGATGGCCATGTCTTAATTCTCACAACCTGTGGATATATTATTTTACACAGCAAAAGGGACTTTGCAGCCATGTTTTTTTTTTTTTTGGGCGGTGCTGGGGTTTAAACTCAGGGCCTCAGCTTGCTAGACAGGTGCTGTTAATGAGCCACTCCACCAGCCCTTTTATTGTGATGGATTTTTTTCTGAGATAGGCTCTCACTTGCCACTTGCCTACTGACCTTGAATGGTGATCCTCCTGATTTCTGCCTTCTGAGAAGCTAGGATCACAGGTGTGAGCCACTGGAGCCCAGCCCAGACATGGTTCTTGAAATGCAGAAAGTGTTCTGGCTTATATAGGTAGGCCCAGTGTGACCATAATAGTCCTGAAAAATGGAAGAGGGAGGAAAAGAGGGAGATGTGACTATGGTGGAATGGTCAGAGAGAGGCACTGGTGCTGGCTTTGAAGATAAAGGAAGGAGGCCATTGAGCCAAAGATTATGAATGTCTCTAGAAATTGTAAAAGGCAAGGAAATGAATTCTTTCCCAGAGCCTCCAGGAAGGAATACAGCCCTGTTAACATCTTGATTTTAGCCCAGTGAGACCTGTGTCAGACTTCTGACCCACAGAACTGTAAGATAATAAAGTTGAGTTGTTTTAAGTTGGCATTAATTTGTTGTGGCATCAATAGAAAATCGATAGATTCCACAACCTCACAATACTTTGTAGTAATGTGCCTTTTACATGTTTTTGTTATTCTGGTGAATGTATTATGGTACCTCATCATGGTTTTAATTTATACTTCCCTAATGAGAAGTAAGGTTGAGCACCTTTTCCTTGTTGTTTAGCTATGTGGACATTCTCCTTTATGATGTACCTATTCATACATATTGCCCATTTGTCTGTTGGGTTGTCTATTCCTGTATTGTTGATTTGTAGTTCTTTGTATATTGTGAATATAAGTATTTTTCAGCTATGTGTGTTGCAAATAACTTTATTACTTCACGCTTTCCTTTTTTTTTTTGTGATGGTTGGGATTGAACCCAGGGGCTCACACATGCTAAGCAAATGCTCTATCACCAAGTTACATTCCCAGCCCAGAACTCTTAATTTTAATATTATCTAATTTATCTTCTTACCTTCATGGTCCAAAAAAGAAATCATTCCCTTCTCAAGGATAAGAATATATTTTTCTATGTTGTCTTTTGAAGATTTACTGTTTTACCTTTTGTGTGTATAGCTCATCTCACCTGGAATTGGTTTTTTATATATGGAGTGAGGTAGGGATCAAGTTTCATTTTTCTTTTTTCTCATGTGACACTCAAATTGGCCAGAATCAGTTTTTCCTATGGCTCTACAGTGCTACTTTTTTCTTTTTCTACATTGCCATGGTTGGTATGAAGCAGGTATCCACATGTGTCAGCCTCTTTCTAAAGTCTTCATTGTGTTTTATTGGCCCATTTATATTCAAACATCACACTCTCGTTTTCTTTTTCTTTTCATTTTGGCAGCACTGGGGTTTGAACTCAGGGATTCGCACTTGCTAGACAGGTGCTCTACCACTTGAGCTATACCATCAGCTCATACTCTCTTAATTATTGTAGCTTTAATCTAAGTCTAGACATTCAATAGGGAAAATCTCTCCCACTTTGTTGCTCATCATAATTTTTGACTATGATTGCTCTGGCCCTTTGCATTTCAAAATATACATTAGGATCATATAATTGATATTCATACATAAAAAGAAAACTGCTTAGATTTTGATCAGGAATGAACAGAATCTATAAATTTTTCTTTCTGTTTTTTGTGGTACTGAAGATTGAGCTCATCATATACTTGCTAGGCAAGCACTCTACCACTTGTGATTTCTATTTCAATAAAGCTATTTAAAAGTATTTTTTCATATAATACTGCAAACTCAAAAAAGGTAAAGTGATACTTGTGTTCTTGAGCATAATCTTTTATGTGTATATTGTGGTGACTTAGGTTTTTTTATATATATACTTGTTTTCCAAGAGCATGCATTTTTACAATTGGAAAGGACAGAAAAGAATAAATGTTATGAAGATGTAGCATTCTCCCAATGTACCAAAACAGCAAGAACAAAAAAATCCAAAAGTATGGTTTGAGGGTGAAGTAAGATCTAGGTTGTCCACCCAGTCAACTTGGCTGAAGATAAAAGAGTGAAGTGGTAGCAAACTTTGTCAGGGTATTTGGTGATAGCTAATATTAAGGTACATACTCCATATTTTCACAGAATTGTTACAAGCAATATATTACACAACAAAGATAATTTTTGCATCTTTGGCCTGAATAAATTGAAAAAAGCTAGTTAAAAAGTTGCTAGTGTGGTTTTGAACTGATGAATACCTTAGGCAGGATTTCCAGTGGGAAACAGTAAAAGAGTGATGGCTCTAATTATTGATTCATTTTTATCATTTACAACAGTAACTAATTATTAGTTATGCCCAGAGTGAAAGGGAACAGTGATGGCCTCAGGTGGAATTAAAGATGACCGTAAGTGCAGAAGGACTGAAGCTCTCTTGAACCAGAGTTGTTTGAGAGACAATTTTGATGGGAAAGTCACAAACATGATGATATACAAAATTCTACTGTCATTCTTCAGAATGAGAATTATAGAATTCGAAGTCTAACTCTCCTGTTTGCCTTTTGAGCTTTGTCACAAAACTTAACTTTTTGAGCTTTGGTTTTCTTTCTTTTTTGTGATACTGGAGCTTGAACTCAGGGCCTACCACTTGAGTGCCAAGAGCACTCTTTCGTGATGGGTTTTTCAAGATATGGGCTTGCAATCTATTTGCCCAGCTGGCTTAAAACTGCAATCCTACTGATCTCTGCCTGCTGAGTAGCTAGGATTACAGGTGTGAGCCACTGGCGCCCGGCAAAGCTTTGGTTTTCTTAATCTTAGAAATGGTAATGCCAATTTCTACCTCACAGGACTGTTTCAGTAATTAAATCAGAAAGCACATAAAAACACTTAGCATAATGCCTGACATACGCATCTGAAAATGTTTCAAACATACCATATTACAACTGGGGGATATGGGAAAGAAGACACTGTACAATTCTTTGCAACTTCCTGTAAATCTATAATGACTTCAAAATTAGAAGTATTAGCTATCTTGTGTATGAATTGTGTTGTGTCACCATGCTAAAACTCTTACCAAAGGAAGGAACTGAGCACTGGGGACATAAGCAGTGTTGTTACACACTAAGTGAAATTAGAATAGAAGCAAGTTCTGCATCTAGAACCCTCTAGAGCACTAGTGAGAGGGGAACTTACAACAAGACAGTTTATCACTGAGTTCATCTGGGTTCAACAGGTGACTGCTATGATTTTTTTTCTTGGTTCAACTTGACTCTACCATCTGGAATTCAGAATAGTCAACGTTTCCTCAGCACATTTTCTGCCAGGCACTTGGCACGCTCTGCCTGTGACTTTGAATGTGATTGTCACTGACACTTTCTGAGCCCTAAGAAAGACATAAAGAAAATTAGCACTTAATCAACTAAACACTCACTGGTTACACATCTTGACTTTTCTAATGGAATTAAATGTGTAGAACAGACTGCATAAGGTTGTTGTACCTACAGAATTCCTCACTGGAGTTTCCTTATGGCCCTGCTCATTTGGAGTGTTTTGGAAAGCATTAGAGAATTGTGGTGGATAGGAAACAGGGGCTTCACTGTCCTTTATATCTGGTTCATACAATGGTTCCAGCAGCCTAGGCTAAGAATCCTGGTGTTGGGGCTGACCATAATGATTTGTGGCTGGAGTTCTGCTGCATTTCACAAGCAGCCTCCAGCCCCTGTAAACAGAGAAAGAACAGTTCAGTTAGCAGGGCTAACTCTGGACAGAGCTCAGTTTTGTTGCTTTTTTTTTTCTTCTTCTCTTCCTCTTTCCTTTTCCTTCCTTCCTCCTTTCTTTTCTTCCTCCTCCTCCTTCTCTCTCCCTCTCCTCCTCTCCCCCAACCCATGTCTCTGTCTTTTTCTCTCTTGCAGTGTTGGGAGGACATTTGTGCATGTTAAGCACAGGCTACTACTAAGTTATATCTCCAGACCTCTTTCTTAATGGTATGAGAGTATGAACCTTCAGCTGATGTGAATAAATAGATCAAGGGTCTTTGAAAAACAAAACCAAACTATGAAAGTCCACAGAAAGTCCAAAACTTCACATTTTGGAATGTCACCTTGACATACACCTTCAACTGGGGCTAGAAGCAGCATAGAGAGGGGCAAGAAACTTTTCACACAAATATTGATCTTTAATCATTTAAAAAAAATGTCAAGGAGGCTTTTAGGTAAGAGATTGGCAATTAGCTTTTTAAGCAAATTGCTCATTTTACTTGGGAATGGCAGTCCACGGTGGACAGCACAGTGACGTGGCTCCAAACACAGAGGTGAGTGAAAACAAATGCTAAGACTTTTTTCTTTTTCAGTACTGGGAACTGGATGCAGGGCTAAGTGCTCTACTGCTTGAGCCATGCCCTTTTGCTTTAGTTTGTTTTTCACATATGGTCTCTAGTTTTTGCCCAGGCCAGTCTAGGACCACCTATCTTCTACCTTCACCTGCAGAGTAGCTGGAATTATAGAAGTGCACCACTAAGACCTTGTTTTAAAAAGCATTTTTGCTGGAGATGTGGCTTAAGTTGTAGAGCACCTGCCTAGCAAGCACAAGACACTGAATTCAAACCCCAGTACTGCCAAAAAAAACAAAACAAAACACATTTTTACTATATAATTATTTGTTTATAGATTCTTTTTAAACCATTTAAAACAATAACTAATAGGTCTGCCTTTTATGTATACTTTTGTCACTCTGAAGACAAAAGTAAATAGTTCAATCATTGAAACAAAAATTAATGAGTGTCATGTCAGGTTTTTTGTTTACTGCTGTTTATTAGCAATATTTTCTCTCATGATTATGTTTGTTGGTGTTCAAAGAACTAAATGTTTGTAATTTCCAAGACTCATGGGCAGCTAATGAAAGCAAATGACAGTGAAGTCATTTGCAAGTGGACTTACTTTAAAAATTCAGGTCTTGCTAGGTGCCAGTGGCTCACACCTATAATCCTACCTACTCAGGAGGCAGAGATCAGGAGGATGGAGGTTGGAAGCCAGCCTGGGCAAATAGTTCCTGAGACCCTATCTCGAAAAAATCCAATACAAGAAAAGGCAGGATGAGTGGCTCAAGTGGTAGGTCCTGGGGGAGGCTCAGGGCCTCACACCTCCCTAGTAAGCATGAACCTCTGATTTCAAACTCCAGTACTACAAAAAAATTTCAGGTCTTAGTAGTCACAGTCAGATAGTGACTTTTTTTAAGTCTGAGTTGTGGCATACTTCTACTTTATAGATTTCAGTGTTTCAGTGGCAGAGTAGGATAAGAATTTGAAGCTCTTATATTGTTCCGACCACCACTAGACAAAACACAGTCTCTTAACAATAACTGCTATCTTTGCTATTAAATATTTAAACATCATTTGTATAAGGCAAAATCGAGTGCATTTTATACAGTTAAAACCACTTACCTTTTCTTTGACAAAGCAGAGTTAGAGAAAACTAAATGTAAAATGTGTGTGTTGAGCCATGAGTAAAGGCACCCTCACTAACAGGCCTAAAACCATACTGTGTAAAGGGACCTATGGTAGTTTGTAACTCATCTGGGTGATGACCAAATGCATAACTCTGGGACAACATGGAAAAATTACCCAGCTTTTTCTTTGAACCTTTCCTGGAGAATATTGAGATCAAACTCACTGAGGCCTACCTTCCGAAGGTGGAGTGAATCATGACATGTACTAGGGTAACACTTGGCACCAAATCTCTCTTTCCTCATGATCACTGAGCATCCCCAACCTTTACTGGGAAGAATATTAAGACAGCTGTCTTTGTCTTTATGTGCCCATGGCTGAAGCATAGTTGTCACTTTAGATTTTGTGTTGTTACAAGGAGATCACCAGTTAGTGTCATGAGCCAATTTGCCTCTTTCCTCCTCCTCCTGTCTGGAATTACTGGAGTAGTAGGTGTCAACTGGGCAAGCACTCAGCAGGCTAGAACTCTTAAGAGTTTAAGTCAATTGGGAATGGTGTCTGCTGGTTGTGAATTTCTAACTCCTTGTCATTTTGAGAGTTAATGACAGCTGAAGTCACAAAAGGGAATTCTGCAAGGGAAGGAGAGAAATATGTGAAAGTTGGTCTTTCGTTTTAGTTATTCTATATTTGAGAAAATTAGACACACATTTGGAGTTAGCCTTGATTTTTATCAGTCTCAGAATTTCAAAACATACTATATAATGTGTTTTGTCTTCTAAGTAATATGAGATGGAGTTTTTGGAATAACTGTGGAGAACCCATTTCATGACACACACTTATGCATTTCAACATTTCTTATTCCCTTCTGATTCCTTGATGTCCTCAAAGGCCCCTATGCTGCCCTTAATGAAGACGACAATGTAGAAAGGAACAAGCTAATTAACTACTATGTACAACTCTGGCTCCTTGTAAGAGCCCAGTCCCCCAAAGTGGCATCAATTATGCAAGTCAGTGTTTGTGCTCCACGTTAGGGTGGAGTTGGACTCAGACTAGAATCACAAGGATGGGACAGCGAAACGGAGTCAGGAAACCTCGGTCTCGCTCTGCTTTGTACTTGGGAGCTTGAGCTAACCGCCTAACTCACGTAAAACAATGGGAATAACAAAATCTGCGACACAGACTTCAGTTTGAGAAGTACTGCCCCAACTACTTAAAAGACAGAACAAAAGCAAAGCAGCCAGCGGAAGCCGGTCGGCAGCCCCAGGCACCGGGCTGCCCCGGCGTCCTCTCGCTCTACCTTTACTCCCGCGAGCCCCGGGAGACAGGTACGGCCTCCTCCCCGGGGTCGCTCAGCACGGCGGACTCGCTCTCGCCGGCAGGCGGGAGGTCGGGGCCGGGCCTTGACCATCGGCACGCGCGGGCCGCTGGGCCGCGGGCGCGAGCCTCCCCCTCGGCCGCTGGACGGCCAGCCCCGGGCTTTGTCCGCAGCCACTCGCGAGGCCCGGCGGGTGGAGGCGGCGCTTCCCCCAGCCGGAGGCGGGAGCCTCGGTCGCGGACGGCCGGCGACGCACGAGCAGGTCTGGGAGGGGCGCGGGCAGCGCGGCGCGCGGGCGAGCAGGCAGCAGCGGCGCCAAGGCGGTGGGCGAGGCCGGTGACCCAATAAAGCGGCGGGCTGCGGGGACCCCGCCCGGCCGGACTCAGGCCACACGCCGCAGGTCCCGGCCGGGCAGCTCGCGCGGGCCCGCACGCTCGGCGTCAGGGCTGCCTGCCGAGAGTGTGCACGCCGCCAGGCCGGGCAGCGCAGGAGGCGGGCGTCCGGGAGAAGCCGTCGTAGGCCCGGGCCCTTAGCCCGCCCCGCGCGCGCCCCCGCTGGCCCTCCTCCTCGCCGTCCCGCGCGCGTCCACCGGTTCCCGGCTCGCGCCGCTCCGTGTGGCCGGATCCCGGGAGACGCGGAGGCGGGGGCGACCACAAGATGGCGGGTACGTGGCCCCAGTTCCCAGGCGGCGACGCCGGCAGCCCCCCAAGCCCACCCCGCCGTCGGCGCCGCCCGAGTGGTGATCGGGCGAGGCCGGCGCGGGCTTCCGGCGCGGGGGGCGCCGCCGAGCGGGCGGGCGGGAGGGCGGGCGTTGGCGGCGGAGGCGCCAGCGCTGGCCCCTGGTGCTGACCGGCCTTTCTTCTCTTCCCCTGCGCAGACCTCTCGCTGCTCCAGGACGACCTGCAGGACACTGACGGACGTGAGTGGCCGTGGCCGGCGGCCCGCGGGGACCGGCGCGCCAGACTTGGGCCTCGGTCGCCGCTGCCCCGCGGGTCGGCGGGGGTGGTCTTGGGCGGCTTTTGGGGCGGCGGGGCGAGGCGGGGGTCGGAGGGCGCTCGGGAGGCTTCCAGAGCATCTTCCGCACTCCGAGGGAGGGAAGGCGGGACCGCACGGAGTCTCCCTTGCGCGCCTGGTCCGAGTCCGCCTCGGCCGCTCCTCGTCGCCCCCGTTTGACTTGTGGGTGCGGAAGGTTAGAAGGTGTGGCCCTGGCGGCGGGGACGAGGCTTACGGAGCAGGTTTCTCCGTGCACAGGGTTCAGAACTCACCCACATCGCCTCAGTGAGAAAATTGCAGGTTTTCTTTGAGATACTGGCGTTTCTAAAGAGTTGATTATTTCATACATAAAGCCCCAACTTTTTGACATTGTTTCCGTCATGGTGACGGAAATGATAGAGAGCTTTCACGTTGTATGTGCCTTTCTAAGCATCAGAAGAATCATTTGGGGTGCAGACAGAAAAGACAGAGCCATATTTGTAGGGGAAGAAGTCACAAATGGCAGTTGACGTGAAGCAGTGTTCCCGTGAGACCTGGAGAGGAGAGTGCAAAGTGTTGAGCGTGTAGGCCGCAGGGAGAGTTAGGGACGGGAAACTGAGCCGGGTCCAGGCGATGACCAGGTGGAATTGCTGCCCAGTCAGTGGAAAACCTGCTCGAAGCCTAGATTATGGCCTAATACCTGTGTGAATAATTCTGAGATGGCCAGGATTGAAATTCCTCTTCCATATACTGTTTGGTTAATCCTTAACGTTGTCTAATGTAGTTCTCCTTACCCAAATTAAGCAAAATTTTAAGTTTCTAGCTTTGAGCAAAGTAAGGATTTACTCTACCCCCACCCCACCCCGGGTTTGAACCAAGCCAGGAGGATTGGCCAAAGTAGTTGAGGGCCTGTGAGAAGCAGCCCTGAGCTCAGTACCGCCAAGAACAAACACAAATATTTTTAAAGCAGATCTGGTCCAAACTTCCTACGGTTAAATCTTGGGCTTTTGTGTCCTGTCCCTCCGCCACGTATTGGGGCTTGAACTCAGGGCCTACGTCTTGAGCCACTCCACCAGCCCTATTTTTGTAATGGGTTTTTCGAGATAAGGCTTCGCGAACTATTTCCTGGCCTGGTTTCCAACCATGATCCTCCTGAGCTCTGCCTCCTGAGCATCGAGGATTACAGGCGTGAGGGTTGTTTTCTTTTTTTGGGGGGGGGTGGTTTTTCCCTAAATTGCTGTTTTACAGGGAGCAGGATTGATGTAGGGAAAGGACAGTTTTTACATTGCATTTTATGTTTTTCTTCAGGTAACATCTTTATAGTATAAGATTTAGTATATATACTATATAGTATATGTATAGATATGGAGTATATTTATACAGGTAACTTATCTCCTTCATAGTATATGTACTATATCTAGTATATATATTATATGTAATATATGTAATATTCAGGTAACTTACATCCTTTATTGTGTTAGATATTAGTTAAGGCAACTATTGATTTCAGGTGTCTTGCAAGGTTTGGATTGGAGATATGTGGTTGTCAGGGGCTTCTTTTTACATTTATGTTCAAGACTTTGAAAATGAAGATTCATTTATTGAGCAAGTATTTATGACTGATTGAGTAAAACATTGAGTATTCAATTGTTAGGTAACACCCATCCCTCAAGGAAGAGATGCAGTTTCTCCTTGACTGGCAGAGAACAGTGGAGGGGAAGGCACAAGGAGAAACAGTTCCACAGAGAGCTCCAAGCCTGGTGGGGGTGGGGGTGGGGGGTGACTCTGAAAAGGACAGATTCAACCCATGCCCTCTAGTGGTTTACCTGCATTTCTGGTCTGTTACCAGGAAGCAAAACACTGTAGAGTACTTACTGCACAGAAGGCCAGACTGCCTTCAGGTAGTCTTGATAGTGTCACTTGGGATAGATTTGAGCAGCCTACTTAAAAAACCTCTCTGTGCCTAAGTTTTGTCATTTGTAAATTAGCATGATAAATATTACCTACTTTAGAGAGTTGTTGAGAAAATAACCTGAATTTATGTGTGTGAGGCACTTAGAACAAACAATGTGTGTTTGTGATCTGTGTAAAGAGCAAGGGTGACTTCAGGGAAAAGCAGAGAAGGAAATACTGATGCTTAACAATACAGAATCAGTTGGTGTACTTGCAAAAGCTCCTAGTGCTTGCATTTAACATCTTTTCAATTTAATTTAGGATAAAATCTTAGGCATTTGAAGGCATAAGTAGTTTATTTGTATGTTCATAATTTGAAGACTGTTAGAGTGATTGCTGATGTTCTCAGTTGCCAAAGTTTGCCATCCATGTGAAGGGAGAAAGAATGAGGAGGAAATCTGGCTAAGGTCCCCACGTAGACAACAAGGTAGCTGGTAAGGGAATGAAAAAGCTTGTCATATCCTGGAGAAGCTGGCAAAAGTAGAGGGCCAGAGATTTTAGACAGTGGAGCTCTGGCTGCCCTTAAAACTAGACTGTTAGCTTGTGAGCTTGAGTTTCTCTTTCTCAGTATTGCATGAATGGAGGCCAGCCTCCAGAGTATTGTACCCCAAGTCCTGCCACTCTATCCACGTTATGTCTAAGTCCTTGGATGGTTAAGCTCTAAAACGTTGCTTGCTTTTCCTAAATGCAGAGCTTCTGCTGTGTAGGTAATTTATGACTGTGGAGACCTGGAGAGGATGTGGGTGGGGTCCAGATTTTGAATGGGATGTTGTCAAACCTTAATAAATATCTAGGGTCTTTTGATTTGTTTCAAGCCCCAACTTCTGTACAGAGTCTGTAGAGTGGGGGAGAAGGTCAGAGACTGACTAGGTCTGATAAAAGCTTTGGAGGTAAAAAATCTTTCATTGTAATCACTGATATATATTGTATATCACTGATATATATTGTATCATGTATAAAAAACCCATACAGGTAAACAACATCATTATTAGATACTATTAAAATTAATAGAATAATACAATAAAAAGGTTTTTTAAGTTTAAAATGATACTTTCAATACTGTTTCATGAAATACACTTTGAATTTCAAAATGAAAACAAACCAGTGACTCCATTTGAATAGGTGTCTCAGCAGATTTCACAATTATATAAAAACCCTTTTTAATTTTTGTGGCTAATTCTGTTCCTTTAATAATGAGAGACAATACAAAATTATAGATTTTAGAGCAGTATTTCCAATTTATATTGTTTGTTTTCCAAAGATGCAGTTTTGTGTGCTGAAGTTGGTAGGACTTAAAGATACAGTTATAAAATAATTTCATGAAGGAGTTTAAAATTTAAACTTTTACCAAAGTTACATTGAAAATGTCATTTTACCAACACTTGATAGTTTACAGTGACTTTCATATACGTGTTATTCTACCCTGCAGTGCCATGACGTGCAGGGTATGATATTCTAATATTGAGAAGTAAATCAATTTTTTGCCCAGAGGCACTGAATTATTTTCTCAAGGAACAAAACTCCTTAAGTTCAGACAGAATTTTAACATCACCTTCTTGATTTTAAATATTGTGGTTTAAATATTCTCTTAAATTGCCCAGTTTATAGCATTCAGCAACTAAAACTTGCCATATAGGTGATTTGTTTGAAGCCATGCCTAAAATACTCTTAAAAATTAATCCAGGATGCAGAATGGTTTAGTTTAACCTGGGAGGAGTGGAACTTGATGAAGTTTAGCTTATTAGTCTTTGTTCATTTCTGTCTTAGCAGTAACTATGCATAATGTTGAAGAGCTTTTTGAAGCTATGTGTGTAGTATGCCATATCACAGATTTTTTGATTGTTGAAGTTTTAGAATCCTTTTTATACTACTATTTTTGGGGGCTTGAGGTTAGTGTTGAAGTAGAATGCAGAAATGATGTATTTAGAACCTGCTGTGTTGACTGCTCTGCCTGCACTCCTCTCAGTCCCTAGGACCTTCAGCTACTTTTGCTGGACAGGCACTCTACCACTTGGAGCCATGTCCCAGCTGCCAGCTACTTTTGAAAACTAGTTCTGATAAGCTTAACACAGACCTTGCCACTGGAGGAGGTGAGAAGTAAAAAATTGGGGCTGTGTCCAATAGCAGCCAGAGAATCATTAAAAAATTCTAGGAAGGTGCCCTTGAACATGATATTTGGTTTTAAACAGGGATTTGAAAAACCAGATGTGTTATACGTCTGTAATCCCTGCACTTGGAGGCCAGCCTGGGCTACATAGTGAGACACTGTCTCTAAAAAATCTGAAGTTTGTTGGGGGAATTTGAGAGAGTGAATCATAAGACTTGGTAACATGTTTTGATTGCTAACCAACAAGACTGGACAGGAAAATTCTTTGCTAGGAATTATTGTAGAAAAGAGTAGTTTTTTTTTTTTTTTTAGTAGTACCCATGTGTGTATAGAATCAGTTAATGATGCCTTGACTACCAATTCCTCACCTAGAACTTAAAAAAATAAAGAAAAGAAAAAGGAAACTCCTTTGTAAATATGTATGGGATTATAGCTGTATGGCTAAAAACAAACAAACAAACAAAAAACCCCACCAGAACATGAATAGTTTTTGTTTGTTCTTGCCTATGAAAAATAAATAGACCTTGCTAGGTAAAGTTAAGACCATACTTTGTCACTGGTTTATTATTTCTGGTCCTTTTGCCTCAGTCTTTCTTGTCATCAAAACAAAGAATTTATATTTGTTTATGAAATTGTTATTATATTTCACATTTACATTACATCTTTTAAAAAATATTTTGGAGTAGAAGGATTTTCTCCCTTGTTGACAAAGAATTTTTGCCATTAGCTACCTGGTGGTATGGTTAGAAGTCACTGAAGTTCTGTTATGGCTTTGTTTTGATTTTAACTTGTATCTGAGAATAAACTTAATGTCACATCTTGGACACGAGCTGGTGGCACACTTACGAGGTTTTGGCCTGGAGTTTTAAAAGCCTAGTATTCCCTAT